GAGGAGGAGGAGGAGGAGGCACGACCAGATCGAAACGAGTGCGCAGAGCGAGCGAGCAAGAAACGAAAAAGAGAAGGACAAGGCCGAGGGCGCGCAACTCGACGATTAAAGAGAGAAAGACAGCCCGAGACACCGCCTCGGACTACCGCAGACGAAGCCAGAAACAGGCATCGTCTGCGGGGAAGAAAGGGCGGGGCTCGCCCCGCCACTCGCCCGAGAGGGGGTCTTTACCTGGCTCAAGGGCCTTTAAATACGTGGCGTCTTTGCTGGATGCAATTCCCTCACACGGGCCCCACAAACGAGAACGAGGGGCCGACGGCTGGGCCCTGGCGCCGCAGCGGTGGCAGAATGCAAGGGTATCACAGCAAGACTAATTTGATGCCCTCTCGCACTACGGGGCCCAACGGGGCCTTGAGCGGGGAGAGGGACCTCAGGGCGGGTGGCGTCACGCGCAACCCAGGAAGGCCCACCAGGACCTCCAGAGGTCCGAGGGCGCTTGCAGGGCGGAGGCCCCACAAGCTCGCCAGGGCCCGAGGGCCCACCGGCGCACGACGCGGGGGGCGAGGCCCCAGTCCGAGGCGCCTTCGGACGCGGCCCCGCCAGGGGCCCACCTACCCTGCGGTCCCTCGCCGTCCTGGCAGGGGCGGGGGGGGGGGGAGGTGGGGGGGGGCTCTCGCGAGCCCAGGGAGCGTGCCTCTTTGGCGCGCCGACACGCTTCCCCCAACTCGGCATCCAGCTGATCCTCTCCCGCACCTTCCACCCGAAACCTCACCCGCTTAAAGGCCAAGGACCGCTCAAGACCCTCAGTCGCGAGGGGCGGCGACCTCTCTGGCCCACTTGGGGCTTCAACAACCCGAAGCTCCAAGGAGGGGCTGGCCGCAGAGGGGCCCGAGACGCTCCCGCTCGGCCCGCCAGGGCCCCTTGGCCCAGCAGGGGCCGCAGTCGAGGAAGGCTCAGGCGAAACACCCTCCAGGCCCCAGAGGGCCGCCGCCTCCGCAACCCTACAAATGCCCCTTCTAAGCCTCGCAGCACCCTTAGGAGTCACCGCGTAAGCGGAGCAGCGATCACAGCTATATTTCCTACCCCTCAGCCGCACACGATGCAGGTGCTGAGGGGGGCAGGCCTGCTCGCCTCTGGGCGGCCCCTCACCGCCGCCCTCGACCCCAGCGCCGCTGCCGCCAGCGCCTGCCGCCGCCAGCTGCGCCCAGCGGCCGCGCAGCGCCGTGTCCCGACGCCGAGGGACGTCCACGCGGTCGGAGGCCACGGTGCCGTCGAAAACCATCCTGGAGGCGTTGGCAATCCAGGTCGCGACCGACCTGACCGTATTCAGCGAGTCGGTGTAGTGCTCGACGATGCCCTGAGGCAGATCATGCAGCTGACGACCCCGCTTCGCCGCTTGATCTGCCAAGTCATTGCAACGGCGATGCCACGAGTCCTCACGGGAGTGGCCTTTGACGTACGAGATCCGAATCGGACACTCCAGGTACCCAGCAATGGAAAAACCCCCGTGATCATCCAGCTGGTGGAAAAGGCGACACCATAGATCCACGTTCTCGCGCCTCGGATTGAGGCACCAGCGCTTGCCACGCGCCAGCCCCTCTAGCAGCGGCTGTAATCCGTGAAGATGTGCAGCGGAGCCACGCCAACAGATAGCACCTGAATCACGGCGAACAGCTCGCCCCGAGCAGAAGTCTGGCGATGGCCAGGCAGCGGCCCAAAAGCAGCTCCGTAGTATCGAGCAGGAGGAGGAGGAGGAGGAGGAGGAGGAGGAGGAGGAGGAGGAGGAGGAGAGGGACGAGGAGGCGGAGAGGGAGGAGGAGGAGCAGGAGGAGGAGGAGGTGGAGCAGCAGGAGGAGGAGGAGGAGCAGCATGAGGAGGAGGAGGAGGAGGAGGAGGAGGAGGAGGAGGAGGAGGAGGAGGGGGAAGAGGGAGGAGGACCAGCGTAAACCCGAGACTCGTAAATGATGCTGCAAACGAAAACACTCCCTGCAAGCTCCCGCTTCGCAGGCTTCGCGGATCTAAGATCACCGCGGGAAGATCCCCGTTGGAAGACAACCGTCTGCAACATTCAAACGGTGCCACAGCACTATTTGTGGGATTTCAACGCCGCGAATGAACGTTACTGACGTTGCCTGGCGATGCTAAACCGTGCTTCTGGAACGTCAACACCGCGAATCAATTTGACGGTCAAGCCCTGACAATATTAGATCGTGCCAGAACACTATTTCTGGGGTCTTGGCCATACGAATCTTCGAAATTGTTGTAGACTCTTAAGGCGAATGCGCGCGGCGCCAAGGCGAGAGCCACAGTTCGAAAAGCGACCCACCCTCCGCGCGTGATGCCCTTGCAACATCTGGAGACGAACATGCGCGGCGCTAAGGCGAGCGCCACGGCTTGAAAACGGCCCGCCCTCCATCCATGAAACCCTTGCAACATGTTAGAAATAATAAGAGCTGCGGTGAGGCGAGGGCCATATTTTGTAAAGGGCCTGCCCTCCATCCGTGAAATCCAGGCAAACTTTTAAGACGAATGCGGGCGTCGCTAAGGCGAGAGCCACTTCCTGCAAGCGACCAGCCTTCCATCCATGAAACTGTTGCACATCAGGCCTCCGGATCATCAATCGCGAGAAAGTCTCAGGCGAAGCGCTTTGCCCGCCCAACCGACCTGCCTCAGAGTGGGACAGGGGTAATTCATTTACTGGGAAGACGGATATAACGGACGAGGAGGAGGAGGAGATAGGAGGAGGAATGGGAGGGGGAGGAGGAGTAGCGGCACGGGATGAGGGAGGCGGACCTGGATGAGGAGGACGAGGAGAAGTTTGAGGAGGAGGAGGAGGAGAAGATGGAGCGGGAGGAGGAGGAGGAGTGGCACGGGATGAGGGAGGCGCATCTGGATGAGGAGGAAGAGGAGGAGGTGGAGGAGGAGGAGGAGGAGGAGGAGGAGCACGAGGGAGGCAGCGCGGGGCGGCAGCCCGCGCCAGGAGAAGTTCGACATCACGTCCGAGGACGGGGGCGCGTGCGCGAGCGCGCGTGTGCGAGGTGTCGGCCACGCCCGGAGGGAGGCTGGGGGAGGGTGGGAGGCTTCTTAGAAGCACCCCTGCTTAGAAGGCGCAGGCCTTATCCATCAATGTAAAGCTGGCGCTTTCTAAGAAGCAGCCTCTTTCCAAGAAGGCTCCCCCCTCCTCCTGCCCACCTCTGCTCTCCGCCAAAGGTGCCCCGCCTTCCCATCTTAGGGCGAGGAGGCCCAAGGGGCAGCAGGCAATTTCTGTCAGATGCGTTCGGCCAGGCCGAGCTCGGTCAGACGGTTCGCATTCGCTCCCCCCAGCCATTTCGCACACCCATCTCAAGGTTCGTGGCCCCATAGGGAAGGACCCCGTGGCACCGTTCGCATGCGTCTCCCCCGCCCATCTCGGCACACCTCTTCTCACGTTCGTGGCCCCATGGGGAGTTCCACCGAAGGTCCCAGTGCCACCGTTCGCATGCGTCTCCCCCACTCATTTCGGCACACCTCTTCACACGTTCGTGGCCCCAGAGAAAGCTCCACCGAAGGCCCCAGTGCCATCGTTCGCTTGGCCGAGCTCTGCCTGTTCGAATTTCGCCTGGCCGAGCCTCTCCTGTGGCCAAAGAGTAGGCGCAGGGAGGGGGCGTCGTCGTCTCCCTCCCATTCCTTAGAATGGCGTAATCTCTTCTCTATTCGCACAATCGGATGTCGTAGCATGGCATAGCATGGTGTCGAACATCAACGCGTAGCATGACATAGCATGGCGTGGCGACGCCCCAAGGTGGGGGGGCCTCTGCGGCCCAAGAATCCACGAATCGACACCGAATGTGGAATCACTTCCGATGGTTTCTGCGTGGGGGCAGTTTCTAGATTGTGGCGGTTGGAAGGGACCGAAAACCATGCCGTGGCATGGCGCTGGAAATAATCACGCCAGCGCTGCAGCGGGAGCGCGATTCGGAAGGACCCGAAGCGCGGAAATGAGGCTAGCGCTGCAGCGGGAGCATGATTCGGAATTAGCGGTAACCCGAAAACGAGGCCAGCGATTCAGCGAGAGTAGCATTTTGAACAAAAGCCCAAGCGAAAACCCAACTACCGGAAATCTGGTGTGTAAAAAACCAGTACGCGGAGGGGGCCGGACATTCCTTGGACGCCACCAGGAGAGAGAGGAGAGTAGTATTCATGTTGTGCATTTGTAGAGGAGGAGGAGGAGGAGGAGGAGGAGGAGGAGGAGGAGGAGGAACAGTGGAACAGTGGAGCAGTGGAACAGTGCAACAGCGCAACAACGCAACAGTGGAACAGTGCAGGAGAGCGCCGTCCGTGAAACAGAACAGGACGTCGGGGGCGGCCAGGGGCCCGCGCACCCCAGCGAAGGTCAGGGACGAAGGCTTCCGCGACGGAGTCAGCGAAGGGCATCACGACGATGCCGCACACATTGATGTCGGGCTCGGCGTCGGCCGCCAGCACGCCGTGCGCTCCGCCGCCCCGCTGGTGGAGCCGCTCGCCCATCCGCTGCGGCAGCCCCGCGCACCGACGGCGCCAGCGAAACCGCCCGCCGCCGCCGCCGCTCCCGTGGCATCGGCCACCTTTGCCGTCGGCAGCATACGGGAGGGCGGCCCCCGAGCGAGGAGGGCACGGCCGCCCGTCGGCGGCACGAGGCCCCTGCTCACCTGTGGGGGGTGGGTCGTCCTCCTCCTCCTCCTCCTCCTCCTCGCCCCTCGTCCTCCTCCTCCTTCCTCCTCATCCCCCTCTCCTCCTCCTCCTCTCCTCATACTCCCTCCTTCCTAATCAATCCTCCACTCCTACTCTCATTCCTCCTCCTCCTCCCCATACTCATCATTCCTTCCTCCTCCTCCTCCTCCTCCCCCTCCTCCTCCTCGCTGTCCCCGAGGCACCGCGTGCCATGCAAGGGCCTTGCGCGCTCGGTCCAGCGGAGGGGTCTCCACTGCAACCCACCTGCTGGCATCAGCCACCCGCCCGTCGGCGGCTGCCAAGGGGCGCTGGACCCCCCCCCGCATGGGAGTGGGGCCTCCACTGCACTCCACCCGCGCGGCGTCGGCCACCCCTCCATCGGGGGCTCGCTGATGCGAATCGCCTCAGAGGCAGGCATCGGCCACCCGCCCGTCGGCGGCTGCCTGGGAGATTGGCCCCACTGCTCGTCTGCTCGCACCTCCAGGTGAGCGCCGGCCCCGTCTTGGGATGTCGCCCTTGCAGCAGCTCGTGCCGCCAGGCGTTCAGGTTGGAGACGTACGTCCTTGAGCAGTAGCCCACCGATGTCGTCATCCCCTTGCAGGTCTTGACGATCTCAGCGGACGTGCCGTTGTCGGCCCGCGCGACGCAGACCTCGCAGAACACGGCAGGCCCAGCCATGTGTAGGCGGTGCTGGAGGTGATGGACCACCTTGTCTCCAGAGGCCCATGGTTTGGGCGGTGGAGGCGCCGAGGTTGGCTCCCTCCCCGATCCATCAGCAGCCGCCAGCTCGTGGATGGCCATCGTCCCCTCGGACGAAAGGGGCAAGGTGTCGGCGCCCAGGTGCTCGAGGATGGCCCCCGCCCGCCGCTGGGAGAAGTTTTGGGCCCGCACGGCGACCTCGCGAACTGGTTCCACGCGATGCCGGGCGACGTCGCCGAGCACCTGCCGCAGGCGCTGCACATGGCGAGGCCGCGGCCCCGTAGCTGGGCCAACGCGTGCTCGATGATCGTGGCTGGGGGCGTGGCCCGAATGCAGGTGTCGGCACGTGCCGCCGCCACTGTAACCATTCTCGAGCTTGGGCGATCGCTGTGCGGCCCAGCCGACATAAGAGGCCACCCCACTGTTGCGCTGCAGCTCCGCGCCGTAGTAATTCACGTGCACCTGCGAGGCTGCGTGCTGCATGCCCCTCCTGCTTCGCGAACCAGTCCGCCCACGTGTTGCCAGCGTGCGACCGCGGGCGGGCGCCGCGGTCCAGGTGCGTCTGGATCTCCATGCGGGCAGAAATCCAGGCTGCATCAAGGCGACGCGAGCTCGGCGAGAGGTGCCGAGTCCTCGCAGTCGGCGGGCCTGGGCAGATGAGTGAGGCAGTGTGGCCTGGGCAGATGCGCCGCGCCATGGCCGCATCTCGCAGTCGCAGTCGCAGACAAGGTGCGGGCTGGCGTCGCGCTGCTGCCCGTGCCAGGCATGGATCACCTGTTGCAGCTCGCGCACCTCGGTGCAGCGGTGCGACGGTGCGCCCACCGTGCCCAAGCCTGATGCTGCGCAGCGATGGCCTGGTCGCAGATGCCGCCAGCGCACTCGGCGACGCTGCCCGCTTTCTGGGTGAAGTCATGTATCATGAAGACCTTGCGTTGCAGACTGGCGCCGCGGAGTTGGCGGAGCGCTTTCGCGACGTGCGCTCCGACCCCCATCGAGTGGCGCGCCGGCATCGCCGCCGCGCGGCAGGAAATGCGGATCTCGCGACCAGGGGGGCGCCACTTAACAGCGACGAGAGCCGTCTCCAGAGCGCCAGCCTTCCTGGCGCACGCGCCCCTGTCGTGCGCCGCCTTGTCGCGCGTGTCCAGCAGTCCCTGCTTGACAGTGGCGATGGACGCTGCCCCTAGTTGCGGACAGCTGCTCGACCGTCTGCGCGGCTCGGACCTTCGCCAGGTCCCTGGGCCAGTCTTCCACGCCGCGGTTGCAGCCGATTGAAGGGGCGGGCCCGATGGCCTTGGGACCATTCATGATGCGCACCTTGCGCGAGAGTTCCTGGCCCAGCAGCTCCACGTTGGCGGGCAAGTTCGGCGCCGTCGCGCCTTCCTCGAAGTCCGCGGGGCACAGCGGGCGAGGCGCCGGGTTTTTCGAGAAGATGAAGGAGTCAATGACGGATCCCGCCGTCGCACGCGGGCGGGGCGCAGCGGCCAACGGCGCGGCCCACAGGGCGCCCGCGTCGCGCAGCGGCTCCTGGGGGCGGGCTGAGGTCGCCGCGTCAATGTCACCCCTGGCCAGCCCTGCGACGCCAGCCCCTTTGAGCTTGGCCGCGTAGCGAGCCAGCTCGATGAAAATGCGATGGTCGGTGTCGTTCAGGCCGACGCCGTCGACCAAGTGCACCGAAATCGCCGCGAACCAGCCGCGCGCACCCAGGTGGATGTGCGCCGCCGCGAGCGCGCCCTAAACGGTTCCGGCGCGCTCGAACATGGGGGGGGCGGCGGCCATAATGTCAGTTCGTGCCAGCGCCGCGACCCCGCCCGACGCGCCGCCAGCAGCGACGGGGCTTGCGGCCCCAGGCGCCCAGGCGCCTGGGTGGCCGTAGTCTCCCATGGCGTGAAGCAGCGACGCCGCCTTCGCTTCGTCCCGCGCGCGACGCTCCTGTGCGAGAACGACTTGCGACGCGGGATGCCCCTCGACGCGAGTTGCCAGAGGCCCTCGCGATGCGATGTCGACCGTGGCGACGATCATACCTGTCGCCACTGCTCCAGACAGCCCGCGCCGCATCAGCTCCGACTCCGTAAGGCTGGTGGCCCCCGCGCGTCAGAGTTGATCACCGCTGTCATACAGCCTCCTCGCTACCCTCTGACCTTTTGCCGGCGCTCCTGGAGCCGCTTGCGGGTTTGCTCGGGGGAGCCCCAGGGCGGCCTGGGAGGCGCAGCGGCCACCGGTGCGGCGGCGGCGGCGGCGGCCGCGCCGTCCTGTCCCGCAGCGCGGCCGCCAGGCCCGCCGCCAGCAAGCCCTGCTGCAGGCGCGTCGGCAGCGACGCGCGCCCGCTTGGAGACGACCAGCTCGGTAATGCGGCTGCCGATCGCCGTGGCCAGCCGCTGTCTGGGCCTCCTCGAGGACGGAATGAGCCTCGTCCGGGTGGGCCCCAGCATCGTGCGCACGAGGTTTTGGAGTTCCCCCGCCGCGACGCCCAGGCCGTCGATTGTGTCATCCGCCATGCGCCGTCCCTGCTCCCGCGGCCTGGGGGCAGTCGGCGCTTGCTGCTGCAGTGCTGCGATCTCCGCCGGGAGCGCTGTCTGCTGGGCAAGGAGGTCGGCGTGCACCTGCTCCGCGCGCGCCAGCTCGGCCTTCGCCGCCTGCGGCC